CCGCCGGTCACTAAATGGTACATTTCATCTGATGCACCAGTCACTAACCGGGACAGATGGCACTAATAGAGCTAGATTAAATTCAAACGGTCACAAATGCTTATATTTACATAGTCCGCTATTTCTTTTTTTATTTTTATTAGATTATGCTTAGAACTTCAGAAAAATATGTTTTTCGATACAAAAATGATTAATCTTGAGTTCGATAAAATTGATTCCTGATTTTAATTATTTTTTAGTATTTTTTATTCTTATTAACTCATGCGACTATATCTTACATCGTCACAAATAGGGACATTTACCTTACTTTTCTTTATAACAATTTATGTAAATAACAAATAATTTCAATAAAATTTATTATTTTATTTTTTTATATAGATATATATATGTATATTGGGTTAATATTTAATTTTTAGAACAATAAATATGTATGATATTATAATACAATAGATATAACATTTAATGTCCAAGATCCGCAAAGTTAATCGACGTGAAACAATTTATATAAGAACTTTAATTAATTTTTACTTAACATTTTATTTTTATATAAGATTTATCGTTTTATATATAATTTATAATAACACTTACAAAATTGGTAGAAAAGCACGTCAGATTCTTTGTGCTCTCTTAACATTGTCTACAAAAAATCGTTATTCCAAAAAGAGAATTGAACAAACGGGTGATTTCTGATTTCGTTGAGAATTCATTGACAACTGTTTTCATCGTTAAAAGAAATATTACTTTCAACGTCGGAAGTAAATCGTTATCGACAAATCTGATGTTTTGCCCTATAAAAAAAGATCTTACGACTAGTCGTTTATTTATCTAATTTGAGGAAAATTGTTGCATTGAGGCCTCTGTACATTTGGCGCATCGTCAGTGTTAATATTATTTTTTGGAATTATCAATTAATTTTTACGTGTGTGCGTTAGTTAAATTATTTCTTTTAAAATCGTCGTTAAAAGCGTATTTTGATGGAAAAACTGTTATGTATTTTGTGCTTATAATATAACAATCGAGATTTATCAATTAATATTCAGTGATAGAAAAAATTACAAGAAAATGTGAAATATTTCTAAAACGGTTACATAAAATAGACATCTAAATTGCACGAATAATTACAGCCTAGTCGGAAATGATAATGAAAGCGACATCGAATCGACGTCGATTTGATGCTTTCGACGTCGAATCGACATCGTTATCATTTCTGACTGGGAGACGGTGCTTCAACAATAACTATCGTAATAACAACAAATTCCGATAATATCGTAATGAGTAATAATTTAATAATTATTTTAAGCCTTGTGCTTTAACGACTGTTACATAACGATATATTGCTCTTCGAAAAACAAAGTTTAAATATATAATTGCGTCCAAATTATATAAATTTAAAGCATTAAAATATGATACGTTAAATATAATATATCTAATCTCAGCTGACGATTTAGCAGAGATAATATTCGTTAGTCTAATAATTAGTATATAATAGTGCAATTCTTAAAATCCGCAAACTAGTATACAGGGTGTTCAGCGTAACGGTCCGCACGATTTTTTAGACACTTCCGACAAATTAAAAAAAAGGGTTCAAAGGTGATTATCCATCTATTTCATGCGGGCTACATGTGATAAAAAAATTAAAAAAAAATTTTTTTTTATTAAAAAAAGTCAAGGTTAGGCCCCTACAATATTATGGAAAAAAAATTGTATGGTGCTATTTAAAAAATTCAAGATAACCTTGACTATTTTATAAAAAAAAATTTTTTTTAATTTTTTTATCACATGTAGCCTGCATGAAATAGATGGATAATCACCTTTTAATCCTTTTTTTTTAATTATCGAAAGTGTCTAAAAAATCGTGCGGACCGTTACGCTGAACACCCTGTATATAAATTGTTCTGTATCATCTTTTAGCTGTTAGACTCATCAATTTAGCGTATTCTCAAAAAGCTAAAAAATTAATACTTATTCCGGAGAATACTTAGTTTATATAAGTAATTGATGTTAGTTATTTAACACTGCAAATAAAAATAAAAAGAACACAATATATTAATGTGATATTTAATATCTAATTAGAAGTAAAATAATCAGAAAATGTCGATGCAGTACTCCTATCGTTTATTGAATGGTTTTTTGTCAAAAAAATAGGCCTATTGATAAAACACGCGATAATAACTATAAATGACTTATAAAGAAATTATTAACATCAAATAATTAGAATCATTTAGATCAATTGATAAAGATTAAAGTTATATATTTTATAAAGATTTTGGAAAATAATTTTTGATTTATAGAAAAAAATATTTCATTTAATAAACTATCAAAATTCAAAACGATGAAATCGTTATTTTTCCAACATGCGCCTTCTTTTTCAGTAATTACTTTCTCAATAAAAATTATTAATCACTGTACGATTAATCGAATCATTACTCGCTCTGTAATCTTCTATCACATCCACCTCAAACGCATCGTAGCTTCAATCTGATCAACTATTGGATACCTACGTAAGAATCTTGATTCTTCATTTTTCTTGTATCCACCTTCTTAATTAGGACAAACCTTATTTGGAATTGATCATAAATTTCGTTTACACGAACGAAATTTTCTTCGACTTGTCAGCAATCGCAATTCTCGAAGAATATTCGAAGAACCGATATTTCTCAGTCACCAGAAATCCAATTAGGATCCAGTATCCTTGTGTAGTTTATTCGTTCGACATGAGCTGCACGCTGTCGTCGGCCGACCGAAGTCGTCGAACTTCCGACAAGGAACGAATTGGTGTTGGATGTAATAACGAGAAGGGATGAGAGTGCCGATCTAAGATAAAAAGATAGCATATGGAAATAATTCGAAGTGTTTCAAATGTATTGAGTCATTATATAGACAATTTTTCATTTATAGAACAATTTATACATGATGTGTAAAATATAATATATAATATATACACATAGATACTCTCTAAAACTTTTAGAGTAAATCTCACTCTGAAGAGTGAAATCTCTCTCACTTTCAAAAATTGAAAATTAAATCACTCTTTTTTAAGACTGAATTTTGAAAGTTGAATTTTTACTCTTTTAGAGTGAGCTTTCACTCCAAAGAATTTAGACAGTTATACATTTATTTATTATTATCTGTTTAGTTCATGTTTATAATGTTTATAATGTATACGTAATTATGTAATTATATAATATTTATAAATAATATATGTAGTTATATACATATATTATATACTTCTTTATTGATTAGATTTTATCAGTAGGGTAGAAAGCTACAACTTCCGGCGATCGCCCATTTTCAGGAACCTTAATTTAATCGGGTTAAAAGTGGAAAGAGGCAATATACATACCTTGATATGTGAATGTGTGTGTGTGTGTGTAGGAGAGAGAGAGAGAGAGAAAGATATCGCGCGTGTCTAAAGTCTACAGTGCAATGTCAAGGTTGGACGTAAGTGTCTCTCATGAATCGATTTGCTGAAACTCTGATCTATATTTTCACAATATCATGCCGGCATAATTTCACCTAGACACGCAAACACTCCCATCTCTCTCTTCGATTTGATTAAACAATATCATTTTCATATTGTCTTCTTATATGATTTATGCCCGGGAAAAGATGTTATATAATGGACATATTATACGTATATATAATTATATATAATTTTATATAATTATATTTAATTATATATGAAACATTTTTTTCCGTGTGATCACCTCAAACATTATTAAAAGAAAGAAACAAACTTTCTAATTATAAATATATAAATAAATAAATAGTAATTTTCCATCCAGAGGTCTTTTAATTTTTTGTTAACTATTAAAAGTTAGTTTTAGTTAATTTTTTAATTTGTAATTTTTTAAGTGAGTTAACATGTTATATTCTTAATATCTTTTTGTTGTAAAATTTTTACTTTTAGTATCAACTGACATTGAATAATAATTTTATATAATATAATATGTGATTCATAATTATATTATAAAAACATCAATTTAAAGGAAACGCAAACATTTTAGTTAAATAAATATTCGAGTAAGAAATTTCTATTAATTTTTAATTTAATTCAGTCATAGTTTTTCTTTACATAAATTATTCTTAAAGTGAATGTGCATTGTATATCCTAAATATCCTCGTTAAAATCCTCACCTCTAATATCAGTCGTCGTCTCGCTTCTGGAGAGCTCATGGTCGTTATTACGATGCGAGGGTGTCTTTGACGGGCTCTTGACTAGGAGAGTCGCGTCATTCTTGCCTGGGGTGGTACTTTCATCCTGATTGGGAAACTGGAAGGCCGTGGAATTGGGCCATGAAGCCGGGGGTGGACTGCGTACCAGGTGCTCATGTACCTGTGCTAGTGTTAGCGGATCCGCGTCACCGTATTCCTGAAAATATACATCTTTTTATATTTCTTTTTAGAGGCGTTTAAAAAGAAGTAGAAAATGCTTCTTTCAAAAAAGAATATAAATACTCTCAAAAACGCGCTTCTTTCTCTTTTTTTCAGAAAAGTTCATTCGTTTTTAATAAATTTTTATACTCAAATAATTATGCACACAAAAATTATTCAATAATTTATTTTTATTTAAATTCTGCTTTTAAATTGTTTAATACAAAACATACAATAATTTTTCCATTAAAACTTTGAAGGATTATTGAAGGAATATTTTAACTAATATATGTGCACACATAAAAATTAATAATTCTGAAAAATTGATAATATTATTTACTTTAGATCATCTGCAGCAGTTATAAAAAATTTACTTTTATCTCTAAAAGTCATAATGATTAAAAAAAACTATTATTATAGTGTATATAGAAATGGATCTGTAATATTTTGTTAAATTCGCAAAAGTTTAATGCGGGATCTCACCTGCGACATTAGAATTGCATCGTCGGACTCGGACTCTTCGATCGATTCCACGAGGCTCTCTCGGCTTGCTAATACCTGTATATAATTAGAGAAAATTTGCACAATTACGTCAATATATATTATACAACAAAATCGTGTAAAGCACTATTAAGAAATAAAAGAAGTTTATTAGCAATTTTCTTTTTACAGTCGGAAAAAATTTAAACAGCCAATCACAAAAATTAACCAAAGAAATTATAATTTTTTAATATATTAAATTAAAAAATTCTGAAACACTGCATTTTATAGAAATCAAGAATATACATTTTTCAAAATTAAAGTAAAGTAATGTTGCAAAGTTTTGAATCATTCAGAATTTCAGCAATTCGCAAATTGTTCAGGATTGAAAGGTTTCATAAAAATCGCCTTTTTTGAGGCAACGTAATGATCAGGCCGAACCTGTAGAAAGGGATTGTCCTGACGACTCAGTCTGAGTGCCTCCATGTCCTGATCAATGTTACGCGTTCTACCGGGTGTCAGGGTCAGAATTGAGTGCGAGGGTGACGGCTGACAGGAGACAACGACGTCCACTGCTGTCACACTCAAGGTCGACGGAATTCGTGACATTGTGCTGTCACTCTCCGAGCCGTTTCGACGACAAGCATTGGTAATAATTGCTGTAAGCAATATTACTTGTGCTATCGATCATGTATGCAAATGCCTTCATTAATTCGATATAAAAATCTCGCAATAAATGTATATAATTTATTATCTGAGATATTATTAATTGAGTAGATGGAACATTCGCGATTGTGAACATAATTTATTAGGTAGATTTTCATCTTGCTAATTACATTTAAAGAAACAAATTAAAATAATGTAAGCGACCTTCGAAGTAAATGCCATTAATTAACCTTTTACAATTTTAATTAATAATAATAAGATTGGAAATAAGACCGTTTATGTTAGAAACATTACTTTAAATACGAAGCGTCACTACGGTCTGAATATTAAGATGTTAAACTATTATATATATTCATTTACATGAATTAATTAATTAATAAGTTGCGTAAAAAGGCAAATATCATGAAATACCTATTTAATTCCTATATTAAAATTCTTTAACGAGATATCAACATTTAAGAACTATTGCATTTTTTGCCAGAGTTTTTTGTTCAATAAAATGTATTTTTTTGACATCTTTAATTTTAGTTTAATAAATAATAATTAATAATTATAATAAATTAATGATCGATAAGAAACCAAAAGCTCCACAGATTTTCTGTGTTACTAAAGAGAATATTTAGAGATATTTTAAAGCTAAGAAATTAAAGCTAAAATATTTGATAGAAGATCAGTGATCTGGAGACACTGGTAGTGTCTCGGCGCCGCTAAACTACGCGCAGCGACACTGTCGTGGCTACTTTACGCGAGCCGGTATATCTCACCAGGAGTCTCCACCCTGGGCGTTCGTTCCATCTCTTCGTCTTCGTTAATCTTCATCCCTACCGCCAGTTTTTTCGATTTAAACAGATTCGTTAAGAAAGCCGCTCCTTTGCGTTTTACCCGATCATATCTGTACGCGCTTTCGGACGACACGTGTATCATAATTCGTCTGTAAATATAACGTGGTGTAAATAATTACAACCTCGTGTAATTTATAATTTAAAATATAATCCTATCTTAATACATCTTTAGACGACATATGTATCATTAAGATAGTATTTCATTTGTCGTACAACAAATTTTTCAAACGTATTAATTAGCTGTAGGATAGAGAAATTGTTGAATACCTTTTATCCTGTAGTCAATCAACAGGCTTCAAAAATTGTTGTATGATAAATGTAATATTTTTACTCCAGCCTTTATCGTCTGAGATTATAATAAATATAGTAGGAATTGAATAATTATCAATTTGTAACGTTATATATAGATTGTGCACAAAATTATAGAAAATTTGTTTAAGTAGCAAATTATTTTACTAATCAGACACAGATTTAATAAAAATACCAGTATAATAGAATATTATGAATGTCTATAAATCGACAGAGAAAATAAGTGTGAAATCAATCCATAATAGTCATATAGCAAAAAGTTAATTTGCATATTGTTCTCAAGTTGATACAAAGAATAATGTATAATAACTCACTGTAAATTGTAATGTAATAATTTTATATTGTAACAATACGTCAGTAATATGATAAGTCAAAGCGATAGATGTGACGACTTACAGCACTTTCACTTTTAACCCATCAATCGCCGCAATTAAGCAGCCTCATAACGATTAAGCATCACTTCCGAGAATTTTTATCGAAGAAAGTTCAATCTTATAAATATACATATATATATTTATCAAAAATTGATATGAGATAACGATAATAAACAAACCGTGTCGGGACGCACTTTCAAGTAAAAACTCGATGGAATTGAAATCGTTGTCAGATTTGGAAGCAACATCGGATCTACAATCCGAGTAGCAGCATACTGCCAACTGCAGCTGCGGAAGGGTGTGCACCTACTCCTGTGCAAGAATTCGCGCAGCTGCAGTTGCTAGCAAGTAGACAGAGCTTGCGTGTGGCAGGGGTGGATAAGAAGGGAAAGGTGGTGAAAAAGATGAGAGCGACGAAGTCCTTAAAGAGCGAAGCAAAGAGTGACGTTATTTTTTCTTTTTTTGTTTGATGGACATCCTCAAGACTCACAGCTGTTTACTTAATTAGTAAGACATATGGCTATTTAAATTAAAGGATTGAGGTGAAAAAAAGTGGACTTTGTGAAGTTTGAATTTTTTAATTAGAAATATAAAACGCGTTATGAGGATTTCAATTTACACAATTGAGAAAATATCCAAATTATAAAAGTACAGATAAGTTACAGATTCTTTATTAAAAATTTCAAGATCATGATTACATGTTATCTATCACATAACTGCAGTATGATCATAACGTATTAATGGTTGTATTTAAAAAATGCACAATAAATTGAACATTTTTAATCGCTCTTTAAGGAAAATATAAAAAGATCTTCTCTTACATGAATCTGTATATATAGTATTAGTAGAAAACGAAAAATTTCTCAAATGCATAGAGAGATTCGAAAGGTGATATCAAATCTTGTAGATTAGTTTTTAGAATTTATAAAGCAACCAATTATATATGGGGTGATTGAGGAAGACGGGTACTTTTCCAGGAGTGCGTCGTGTCGTTCGATCGATCGCACGAGACTCTGCTGTACAAGGGGTGGTTACAATATATGCTACAGTCAGTTCCACGTATATATTGTGGTCAGTACTAACAAAAAATTAAATAAAATAATAAAATTACGATTTGTCCCCTTTCACCTCCCCCAATAATTAACAAATTATAGCATGTATCAGTGACGGATGTATGATACATGTATACATATCAACATGAATGATGGCTTACCTCCGAAAGTTAAAAGAATCTTGTAAAATGTGATTACAATTCTCTTGCTATTAAAATATTACATATATTAATAATTTTAAATACAAATTTTAAATGAAACATAAAATTGAGTTTACAATAAAGTTTCTATATTGAAGTAACGTATCCTTGAAACTAACTCGGAAACTAGATTTTCTTATTTATTTAAACTTTTGTTTATTTCCTACAGTCCTCCAATGTTTCAAGGATATAACTTATGTATACATAATCAATCAGGAGTAGCTTTTCGTTGTAGAAACGTTATAAACGTTTAAACATCTCAAATGATATCCGGTTAAAACTGCACGTGGTTGATCAATCTGATCAAAATAGTGAAATTGAAATTTCGTCCGAACACCTTTCAAGCAATTCGTTTGTTCACCGTTTCGAAATTTATAGCAGATCAGAATCTCGATGATTCTCGAAAACAATTTGCAAACATCCAGAGATATTTAACGGAGCCATTTCACGCTCGTTGTGAACACCATGTAAACATCGCGATCACTGTGACGTTTGTAGTCGCCGATGACGAGGGACAAAATGGAACTCAATTAGCACTCGAAGTACAATGTATCGTTGAATTACCTGAAAACTCGCACACCTACGACGATGCATCCTTGCGTTGCGTCGCGTTGCAAAGCGTCGCGACGCCAACGACACAAGGGTGCGGCGCACGCGAGGTTTTCCGGCCGGCGCGGCGGCACGCCGGTCCTACTCCAGAAAATCAAAGGAAGCCGGCTTATCAGTAACGCGCGCGCACGCGTGTACTTTCAACTTGGAAGGGGAAGCAACCCTGATTTTCAATTTGGGTGGGGGTGGTCTGAAAATCAGATGTAATCTATAGGCATGATACTCCTTTTCTCTCGTATCCCCTTTCTTCGCACAAATCATCGTGAATTTTGATTTAGCTCAACTAATTAATATGATGAATTGCTACATCTAATTAATATGATTGTACAGAAGTTTATGGCGTCGACATCTCGAATTTGCATACTTAGAATGTTAATTAGATTGCGTGCGAAAAGGACTATTTAGGGGAAGTTAAGAATGAAGAGAAAGTTTGAGGTAGATATGCCGATTTATTCAAATCATTTGCCTACCTGAAAATTTCGACAAATTGCAACATTAATATCTTGTAAATTAATGTTTAATTATGGTTCCTAAATCAACACACATTATGCGTAAAATGCGTAAACATAGCATTCGTACAGCGGAATTAATTCGCCGCAAGTATTATTTCTCCAGAGATAACATCGAAACTCACAAATATCTCACTAAATATGTAATAATTTCTCAAAAAAGTTTGATTCGTTATAAAATATTCTTTTGTTACATTTGAGATATAAAATCAGAAGAATATAAATTAAAAGATTGTTAGTTAATTGTTTTATTAAAATATTATCGCGAATATCATGTGTTTCCCAATAGTGTATAATAATGACAAAAATTATATTTTTTAATAATTCATTTACGTTTGGAGAAAAGGTGATTTATGGCGAAGCAATGGCGTACGAGTGCCTTCTCTGCTGCGCATAAATACTTATTTAACATAAAATATTGTGAAAAAGAGAAAAAATTAAATAACAAAAGCGATCGACGCGAAATAAAATAGTGCCTCGTAAGTACGAATAACAAAGTTTCTTGATAAACAAAGAAAAACATATTTTTCGTAAAAAAATATGAAATGCATAAAAAATTTCTCCTTCGTGAAATAAATTAACATTTTCGTTTCAATTTGTTGTTTAATGAGGCGGTAGAAATACGCTAATAGACGGTACGATCCATCCTCGTATACTTACAGCAAGCAATCAGCAACACTCTCGAGCTCAATAACAATAATAAGGAATAATAATCATAATCATAATCATCGTTCATAATAATAATCGTCATTATTTTCGTTAACGATATGTTAGCCTAGTCCGTATAAACACAGCGACATCGAAACATCGTTTATATTATATGTAGAAATTAATTCATATCTATGTATATAACATACATATATATAATATATATATAAAACATTTGCAAAAAAATCACAGTTACTTAAAACACCTTATCTTCCCACACTTTCTTTTTTTTCAAGCTCTCTTTTTCTCTTTCACACCCTTTCTTTTTTTCTTTCTTCCTTTCTCATTCCGCTTTTTTCTCGTATCATATTCGTTTTTTCGCACCTATTTATAGACGACGTATATTGCGGGAATAATCATCCGCTTTTAGTTATTAAATTAAAAATTAAACAAAAAGGTCGCAGCCAATTTCGCAAGACTGTTCATGCTTATCTTCAAGATATATTCGCAAGATTTGTTTTATAATCAAATAAATTTAGCTTTTCTTGAGTGTTAATTATTTAAAAACTATCAATTTTCTAACAATAAGACAATTTGTAATATCTAGTCGAGATTTGTAATATCAAGGTTAAAATAGTCAATTTTAAAATAGTCAACAAATTCTTAATATTTCTTTTAATAATTCCTGACGATCAATTCTTAATATATCATGTGTGTGTTGCGAATTCGAAAATTCTACAAAAATAAGCTTTTTTTTCCACAAGATACACCAACATCACAAAAAGAAAAACGAAAAACAAATCAATCAATAATGACTTCAATTAGACATGGAAATAGTTTCGTGGAAGAAAATCGTCGAGGCAGTGGCACAACATCGATGTAACAATGATCAGGATTTCTTAAGTACTATTCGCGATTTCACAATGTCTTCACTATTTTTAGATCAGAGCAGATGTCCGATTTTTAAATACTGATTTCTTTTTTGTAAAATAATTCGCAATGCTGAATATGATGCGGAAATTTTTCAGATTTTTTTTGTATTAATTTATATCTATATAAGTTCTCAAAGTTACGAATCAAATTAACATATTTTCAACAATTTTTAAATGTTTTGATAGTTCGCGACTAAAACTTGAAGTTTTATCAATATCAGAGTTGTAAAAATTAGTTTTTTGTTAATTTTTAATCTGTAACTACAAGAAATTTTTTTATCGTTTCATATGTTTTTTTTTAGAAGAAAGAATATAGTATATGCTTTTTAGTTATTAGAATTTTAGGAATTAAAATTCACCCAAGCTATTATAAACTCGCTTTACAATTATCGTTGCTCAAATATCAAACAATTGATTGTTTAATTACACGGCAGTGTTGGCACAAAGCGTAAACATTGGCTCTTTGTCGAAGAAGGAAAATTTACATTTAAATACAGTTCTAAGCACATGTAAATAAAGCGCATTTGTCTAGCTAGATCTGCGACTTGTATCACTATGGCGATCGTTGGAAATAATAATTGAATAATAAACTATTATCAATAATTTTTATACATTTAATCCCTCAAATCGCTGCTTCTCTTTCATCTCGGAAAAAAAACCAAAAAACGCTACAGATGAAAAATAAAGGTATATAAATATGTGTATAATAAACATATTATTATATACACATAATAAACCATCATAATTAATGTGCAGTCTGAGAGAGTTGCGCGATATAATGAGTTACACCGATCAAGATGTTTGAGAGATTAAGCAACGAACGATAACGAAAGAACCTCAACGAAAAACCTCACAGTAATAGAAATATTTAGAATATAAGTATAAGACTTTGCGCGCTACCGTCCGCTTGATAAGCTGAGGACAGAAAAGCCAGGACGATGGCAGTAAATGTTCGCGATTCAATTCGCAAGAAGTCAGTCGATCGCACAGACATTGACCGACTGCGTTAAAGAATAGAAATTTACTTTAATAAAAAAAAAATATATATAAAAAAATACGATTTTGCTGCCGATCTCATCAATAAAAATATTTTACAAAAATGTTTAGTAGTATAAAACAAGTTGTAATTTTTAACATAAAATTGTGAAAAAAAATATAGGCGAAAATAAAGAAAATATCAATCAAAAATGATTAATACATGCCGGCGCAACTGGCTTCAAGCGATTGATAGCGAAACAGATGGTTGACAAAACATTGATTAACTATTTCAATAGTGCTAATGGGTATGTACAAAATTTCATATGTTACACGACATTTCCGATCCGTCGTTAATTCAAGCGCTCGGGAAAAATCAATGTTGACCTGCACAAGTGATATATATTTCTTCAGTCATTAGTATAATTATCTGCAATAATTTTTTTATCACAATAAAGAAGTGTACGTTGAAGTCTATCGAAAATTCCATAGTTTCAAAGTCTACTTGTAAGTTTCAGAACTTTGAAATGATCGCGAAGATCCGAAAAAAGCAATTAAAAATTCCTAAGATTTTTTAAGATTCAAACAGTTAAATTTATCACGACTAAAAAAAAAAAAAAAAAATACGAACAAAAGTTCTTTTAAAAGAAGTGTACGTTGATGAGAATTTTGTATAATAAATTTGAAGATTATTAATTATATATTGGTCGGCACTCTTTTTTCCGCTAGCACTTCAATTATTACGGATGCTCGTTAAAAAGGAATGGTTGTCAGAGAACTTCTCTTAGGAGAGGACGTTGACTTCGCGGGGCGAACCGCAGACGTTCAACACGCTACTGGTTGAGTTAGGCGTGATTTGACTTCGAGCCTCGTTTTGGGCCTGCCGTATTGCCTCCTTATACGGGCCACGCTTTTTTTTATTATACCGTGTCTGGAATTAGATTCACAACTACATCAATATTTCAAAAAATTGTTACTTTGCTGTAAAACTAGTACAGAAAATATAAGAGATATACAATAAATTCCAAATTTCGTATATCTCTCTTTCGTATATCTTTTGTCATTTGAAGCAATTTCAATCATTCCAATTACTCATATTTTATTAATTTTATTACTTACTGTATTTATTTTAAATATTTTATTTATTATTATTTAAATAAATATACCTTAAAGGTTTCCAGAAAGGGACTTAACTGATCACAGGACATCAGCGAACTGGTTGATGATCCGTACCAAGCCACATGAGCCTGAGGACCCGATGAGGTACCGTCCTCCTTGCAAGATACCGTGATACTTAGCACCTGCACATAATAAAATTCGATAATAACTATGAATGCTAAATTAATGCTAGTTAGCTAAGCTAATAATTATTGTAACTTATGTTATATAAAGGTATTATCAGCATGTTTTTAAAAATATTTTGAGCATACCTTGCCGGGCCACCAAGGAAAGCCGTGAATTTTGCCCCATACAACGTCGCCCACGTCCATCCGTCTGCCATTGGTAGTAAGACAGTGCGCTACGGAGGTGGCAGCTAGACGCATAACCAGAGGATGCGACTGATGAGGCGGAAAATCTGGTGCAGTTTCTACTTCCGGCTCATGTTCGCTTAACTCGTCGCTGCTACCACCGGAACTCTTGCAGCCAGAGGACGCGTTGCTCACGGGATAATCACAACGCGCGTACGCATTTGTGTTCAACCTCTTCAGGGATATCGACAGCTTCTGTTTCAGGCACTGCTCCTTAATGGCTCTATAAGACTCACCGCCGCCCGGTAAAACATTCCAATTCTGTGGCTGCTGCTGCGACTGCTGTTGCGGGTCTGTGGAATCTAAACAGGATTGTTCAGAATGCGATTGTTCCTGTTGTTGCTGATTCTTGTGCTTTCTGCCCTCCTTATGCTTCTTTTTATGTTTCACCTTGTGCTTCCGGCGATGATATAAGAGCGGATCGTACGTAGGGTTATATCTAGATAATTTAAAATAGCGATAAAAATATCAGTAAATTT